GCCCAAGAGGAAGCAAATTTCAGATAGCGCTTCAGTTCCCTTTGGTTATGATTCATCAAAAATGAACAGCTAAAACGAGTTGATAGTAAGGCCGTGCAAACAGGCACTTCCAGAAGTGGAGACTCAGAGGAAAAAGCAGAGAAAGCTGGCCCCTTGCCTAGCTGTGAGTTGCCTTCCTTCCCACTCTGTTGCCTTTGTTTTCAGGGTTCCTGTGCATTTTGCAGTGTCAGCCAGTTGTCAGAGAGAAGACAGCCTTGCATGGGTTTTAGTTATGCCTCAGACCCCAGGCACCTCCTAGACCCTACTCCAGGACGTGTTCACTGCTACTAAGCGCTGCTAAACCAAAGCAGTGACCTAGATCATAAATCAAGTAACAGAATACCCTGCTGATAAACTGCAGTATATGGAAACTTACACAATACTTGTGGTTTGTTAGAGGGTAATACTAGAAGCAGCAAACCATAATGGTTGTGTTGCCCTCTTCTAACAGAGTTCTTAACCATCCTTACCATGACAATTTTCCATGATAGAAAAATTACCTCTCCTCAGCCTGGGCAAATTGCACCATTAGCACAGTATCCCCCTGTTCAGCCACTCTTAATGTGCCTTCTGATCTGAATTTGTTGTACTTTCATCCACTGGGTCTTGTTTTGACTTGCCTGACTTCTTCAATATGCATAAATCATGTGGGACCCATATGTAAAGACAATGATACACAGCAGCACATAACGTATCACATCTAAAAAGCAAGACTGTGACAGGGACAGTTCCAGTTTTATAAGTAATTGTTGGAGACTACTCATCAAGAAACAAGGGAAAAAAACGTTATGCTTGGAAAGAAGGGAAAGGGATGTGTTGTCAAGCTGGCAAAGATAGGTACAGTGGCATTAAATCCCACAAACAACAGACAAGTTTTCCACTGTCCTGCACATTTATCAGGTGCAAAATGAGTATTAGGTGACATTAAACCAGATAGTGCTGTAGAGTAATACACGAGACTACAAGAAGACTATAATTGCCTGTCTCTCCATCTTTATTTTACAAATCCTTATCACATTGAGCAAACAAAGCCCCATTGAACTTGCATGTGCTTGCTCTGCGTGAGACCCCAAATGAGTGGAGGATGAGTGTGGTAACTGAAGGAGCAGCATGCTCCATTTGTGTGCCCACACACACACTTACATATCACACCAGAGTTAATGAAATGTCCCTAAAAAGTCTTTCCCTACCAGTATGTCCCATTAGCTAAACCTATGCTTAGGTGAGGAATGCATTTACTGATTCACATTAGAGTAGCAAAACCAGCCTTTTTGCTAGCATGGGTCAGCCAGGCAAGTAAGAGACAACTGTGACATCCCAGTCCACCATGTCTTATCACATCTTTGGCTACAGTCCTGCTGACAAAATTTGCAATATGAAGACCGGAGGACAGAGAAATGAGAGTGAGGGATGTGCTAGATGCCAAGCACCTGATCCCTCTTTAGAGGGAATCCTTTAGCAAAAGAAAAATATTGTCTTACAACAGGCTGCACAAGGATGGGCTGATACCTGAAAGAGATTAAACCAAGCAAAGCTGTACTAAGGCTGAGCTGCCATGTGTAAAATCCATCTAGGCAGCAAGGATCCCTGTGTGCTCTTATAGCTGGAAGGGAGGGGAAACTACTCAAAGTAGGAGGAGAGATTAATAAAAACATATTTGCACATTTCAAGGCTGTTCTTATCTTTGAAAATAGCTAACTTTATCCTTTGCAGTACAAATGAGTAATCCACGTCCCTAACCTGCACAGCAAGAGGGGAATTCTTGGCCAAAGGGAAGAATTAAAGTAGGGAGAAGGACCTCCAGGCAAGGGAGGCTAATATATTATTTGCAAAAATGGATTGCTTTATAAAAAGGACTATGAGGTAGTTTTCAAAAAATTCAGCCTCCTTTAGGGCGCACGGAGAAAAGGATCAAGTGAAACCATCAAGAACCTGTGAAAAATTTCGGGTAGGGCTGGTGGAGTTTTGCAGAGAAAACATGCCATTTGCCACTGCTGATCCCGCCACAGTGCCCAGAGTTGTGCTGGCCAGCAGGGCTGCAGTCACACCACCCCTTTCTGAGCCTGCAAGAAAGTGCGTGCTCATCTCCCGACAATATGAGTAAGAGGCTGCGTGGGGCAGGTGCTCACTTCTGTTTTGTGATCCACTGTTTATGCAGGCTCTCAAAATAGAGCTCTGATAAGCAATCTGGCTAATTTTCAGATCAAAGGAAACACTGCACTGTCCATTACTGCACTCTGCCACTGTTCACGTTTGCCAGCAAGGGGTTAAGCCCTACCCTGGTTTCTTCTGCTGAGCACAGACCTTCTACAAAGCTTCCCTATCAGCCTGCATTCTCTAGCTCTTCAAGATACCTGCGGTCACTGAGACATGCAGTGGTGGGATTTCTCTGCTACTGAGGCAGCAAGCACTGGCCACAGTCAGAGGAAAGGCACATGCCAGAGATCCCAAGAAAACAACTGTGTGAGGTTTAGCTAGGCAGCACTTTGTTTCAATACATGGATCTTTTCAAATCGCATGCTCACTCTGGTTTTGTAAAGGCTGAAGCAAAACCATTTCCAAGGCAAACATTTCACATTTGCACTCACATTTGATGTCTATCATCTCTGAGGTCCATGTGTCCTATTTAATTTATCTTGCTATTTCTTAGGAGGCTGGATGAGCTAAGAGGAGGAAATGGTAATGGGCTGTGGGAGTTCCTTCACCTGTAGCCTACACTTGTCTCAAGCAACACCCTTTGCTGAGGCTCCAGCTTGCTTTACAGATGTTTAAAGGGCTGATTTACAAAAACTCCTAGGAAAACAAGTATATATTTGTGTCTATCAAACACTTTTCAAGGAAATGATCCTGCCCTCCCCCACTTCAATAAAAGAGTTCTCCATCACGGGGGTGGGGGGTGGCAGGAGAAAGGAAGTGAAATAAGATAAGTCTGCTCAGCTTGCCTCAATTTAATGAGCTCCTCTAGGCCTTATCATTCACCGTGTGCTTTCCCTCATTGTAAACTTCTCAGCCTCATCAAAAAGAGCTTCTTTTCTTTTATTTCTTTTCTTTTTCTTTTTTTTTTCCCCCTTAAATCTGACTCTGTTTGATCAGCCCTTTCCCCTTTCTTTCTACAATCCCCCACATCACGCTGGAACTGGTACCAGCGGAGCATGTCAGCATGCCCTAGCAACAGAGAGATTAAAGCAACTACCAGCTCCAGAGGACGGGCTGGCTGGGACTTACTAATTAACTGCAGTGAAAGAAATGAATGAGAACGGCCTTCTCTTTGGGGCAAAGGAGGCACTAGAGGTGGTTGAAGGAGTTCAGCTTCCCCTCCCCCAAAACATGTGTCAACATTCAGGCCAATCCTTTCTTAATAAGACTTTCCCTATGTACAGGGTTTGTATGGATGGGAAAAAGCTGACAGCAGTCAAGCCTGGTGCAGAAACACACTGGTGAGACCAAAGACAAACCATGGCTGCCCCTGCCTCATGTCCAGCTTCCTCACATGGCTGGGAACTGTGTATCAGATGCTGGTCACTCCTGCGGGGCAGGTCACGCGTGGGATGTGCGTGCCCCAGGCTATACCACTCAGGCACCAGTCAGTGTGCTACACTGTCATCCCTGGGCATGATGGGGCTTGGGGGAGGGTGGCAGCAGCAGGCTCAAAGCTGTGACCCTCAGGAGAGCACCGGGCAGGGCTGTGAGAGATCAAAGGGTGGCCCAGCAAGGGAGGTCAGACAGGTCCCAAATCTGCCACAGAGCCAGGGCTCCCACACAGACAGAGGGGCTGGACCCTCCAGGGGTTTGTAATGAAACATGAGCAGTCCTCCTTTCCCCTTCAAACCTTGGCATCCTCCTGGACTCCACCTTTACCAACCATGCCCAGGAACGTCAAGTCCTCCTCAGAGCCTGTCCATTTTCTGTCAGGTGTAGCCTCTGCTGGTAAATATCTTCTGAATTATGAAATCTTTATAGGGGCTTTTTTAATCCTTTTTTTTTTTTCTTTTTTTTTTTTAAACCGTTACTTTTTGTTGCTGCTTACAGGCATTCTGCCCAGTGTGGAAGTGAAACTGCTGAAATTCCTGTGGGCAGGGCAGGGTGGCTGGAGTTCCTGACCCCATCAGGAAGCACCAGACATGATGACGGGCAGTAACTTCTGGTAATTCTCCAGCCCATTTTGCTAATCCAAGAAGGTTTAGCCAAACTGGGTAAGTTCTTTAAAATCCTTGTAGCTTGGTGGTTTGTTCAAACTGAACAGGCATCTCCTTGCACGTTCTCCAGTAGGGCAGGGGCACAGTGCCTGAAGTGGGTGACACGGCCATGGCAGCTGATGACTTGTGGGAGGACAGGGTGGGCAGATGGGTTCGTGGTCCCCACCACTCCCCTGGGACATGCCATATCCTGTGTAGCACACCAGGAGGCACAACACTGGGTATAGCATGTTTGAGGCCTGGGGAAGGGTTAGATGATTAGTCAGCTTTTTCCCACTTCTGCTGTTAGCAGTAAACGATTCTCCCCAAATATACTGAAAAGGGAACTTTTCAGTAAAAGTTCTGTGCCTCACTTTGAATGTGTTATTTTCTCTGAGAAAAGGCTGTGGAAAAATGGTACAATCTTACAAAACAAGAACTGTGCCTTTGCATATTTAGCTTTGGATCTGCTGGTATAAGAGACAGATTTTATTACATTTTATTTCTTTTTATTTCTTCTAGCCCTGCAGCACCAACACAGACAAGCCATGTAATGAACTGCAGAATCTTTTCTTTCTTGAGCACCAGAAGTGATTTTTTTTTTTTTACTGTATACAGTAAAAAAAAAGTTTGCTAACACACCATAAGTCATATATAGCATTTTGTAACTTCATAAAACTTTTAACTCTTTTTTATTCAGGTTTACTGCTTTCCAGAGTTAATCTCTATGGACTTTAATTAAATTTGCATAGCCTGCTCTTGATTTCATCTTCTTAAATTTTGCAGGACTGTTCCATATGTATTTGTATAGACACATTTTTCAGCTCAGACCTGTGCTTGAAATCCACTACTGCCTGCAACATTCTGGTGCCTGGGAAGGGAGGAATGCTGCAGAGCTGAAGGTCCCCAATGGAAACACAGAAGGGTTAACTTGATACTACCTGCAGAGACTATTTCAGGGACTCTTCAGATCTCAAGTGCTGAAAAGGGACATGAAACAGTAATCCCTTAGAGAACATGCTAAAAAAAAAAAAAAAAAAAAAGGCAACCAACTTTAAAACATTTTGTTGTAACAGTTTGGCCTTTCTTAATAATATAGCTCGGAGGAACAGGCTATCTGGCCGCCTTCCGAAAATCCTTGTTATGGTATTTAATGAACCCTAGGGATCATTACACTACAAATGTGCACCGTGTTTATATGGATGCACTGGGCAACCTATTACAATGGTAGGGGTTAAAAGTCATTTCCTTGGATTCCCAACCAAGATAAACTCATCTACACCCCGAGGTGAATAGTACTTAAACCTCTATTTGTATAAAGAAGGCAGTCAGGTTTTCCAGCACCTGGAAAATGGGCAGGCTTATCTGTTAGTTATCTCTCACGTTCGGCTTTTATATGTAAATTTGCCTGCATGAGCAGTAATCGATACCCAAATGGCCTCTCTTTCTCAGGTCTGGGCACTGCAGGACAGCTTCTGCTCCACTTGCAGGCAGCAGCAGCCCTGCAGCTGGAGGGGCAGCCCAGCCCAGAGCCCCACTCCCCGCGGGGTGGAACCAGGCTGGAACAGCAGCCCTCTGATCATGTCTCTCTTGAGTGAACTCTAGGTTGGTTCCCCTCCGACCACCAGGACCTGCCAACTGGAGTTGGGTTAAAATGGTAAACTCTTTCCAGATAGCACACACAGAAGTGGTTTACATCTGTTTTAAATTGCTTAAACTGCTTCTTGACTCAACTAGATTAATACAAAGTAATGGAATATTCTAATAGTACCTGAATTAAGCAGGATATTTTTAACACAAATGTGTATATAAACACACCCACCCACCCATGGAAATATAGCTGGGGTGACTCTGTTAAGTTTTCTGAGAAAAGGACTGTGGGTTGAGACCAAATGTGGAAAACATTACCCAGAAAGTGTTCAAGAAAGAAGGAACAAAAACCCCCGATGCCTCACGTGTAGTAAAAGTGGCTGCTACATCCATCACAGACACACAAACAGGAAATAATTTCCCTCATCGTGCCTTGGAGAGACTGCTGGAGCAAAACACAGCGCCTTGCAAGACTGAGAAAAACCACAGTGGGATTTCAGACAAGAATCACCAAATCCAGATCACCTCATGTCAACTGGCTGCAACAAAGGGGAACAAAAACCAACTGCTAGCAGGCAGCACACCAGGGCAATGAACAGCCCCGTGGAAAGAATTTTGGGTTTTAACCATTGCAGGCACTCAGACCACCTCGTTTAAAAGCTATAGCGTGCAGTGTAAATAGCTACAGACTGCTTTTCCTCCCTGACAGAACAAGTTGCTTCTTGCTTCTACCTTCTTGTATTTCCACATAGCCCACGGGCAAAATGGAGTGCAGAAAAGAAAGTAGAGCATTCCTTCCCAGCATCAAAGGGGCACACACACACCAAACTGCATTTCTTGCTAGCGGCTTCCAGAGCTCTCTGTGCAGCTACTTGCCTCAGCCTGCTCTGTTCACAAGCACACAGAGGTGTGTATGGCTGTTAAACTAGCGTTACATCACCCGGGATGCTGGAAGTCTGCTGCCTGGTTCCTCACGTGGGGGACACAGGGCTCCTCCTCGGGCGTCACTTTTCTTTCTTCCTTATTTCATTGTTTGTGGGAGGGGGTGTTTTGCACTTTCAGCATTTGCTTCCCAGAAAGGATTAGGTGGGAGGGGTGTTGGGTGAATTGCACACACACTGGTGTGTGAAGGAAAAGGATCCATCTGTAGTAAAGACATGCGTTGTTTATTAGCAGCTTACATGATCCCAGAAATCCCAAAACAACATGCTGGAAAAGCAGCAACGCAATGACTGCACAGAATTACCCTCTGTGTAGTGACAGAGCAGGCCCAGCTTTTTGGGGGGGCATTAACATGGCTCCAAGGACAACACTTCATTTCACATCTCTGAAGGAAATCTTTTGTATAGTCAAGTACCCACATGGGATTAGAATAATAATAATCTTTTGCACTTCAGTACAAAAAATAGGGTGTGAAATCAAGCAGCTGATCAGTGGTCACAACTATTACCACACCAAATCCTGAGTTGCTTTATTCTATTCAACAAACTAAAAAATGTTGATGCGGGCCTTACAACACCAGGAACATAGTTCTTCATCTTGCTTTTACCCATAGAAATGTGGAACGTCAACAAAACTGGCTTTTTTTTCTGTCAGAGACCTGTGGAAACTTCTTGCCTGGATGGAAAGGGGTGCTGGAGGAAACTGGGCCAGCCCCCGGCCCCAAGCCTAGAGAAGAGTGCAGCTCAACCTCTGTGAACTGGTGAGCTCTGAAGCGCTCATGGGAGGAAATAGCTGCAAAGGTTCCTCTTTATCAGTGAAGTCAGCAGCTGCACCTCTGACCTATTTCACCAGCCACACACACCAGTTCTACACCAACGTTGGCCCAGTGACGTCAGTGGGATTACTCCATTTCTGCATTAGATAAAACTTGGAGGAAGATGCTCTTGTGACATATCTTGTTGCCCAGACACCCTTGCAGGAGATAAAACTCCATTTTTGCTACACGTTTGTTCACTTTATACCTCAGAGTATTTGTCTCTCAGGGGTTCTCAGCACCAAGCCAGAATGCTGCCCCTCAGTGCGTGTGTTTATAGCCTCTCCTATGGAGAGATCCCTCTCAATAAGTGACTGAGTTGCAATGGCTGATGTACCTAAGTGACACAACCACCCGTGAAAGTGCACTGGCTTAAGGGCTGCCGGGGTGAGACGAGGGTGCCAGAAAGGCCAGGGAGCCCCACCAGGAGCAGGGACAGTGGCTTGTCTGTAGCACCATGTGGCCATCACATCTTGTCACTTCTTGGTCAGCCCCCATAGGACAATGCCAAGGCCCTGCAAGGGTGAGCCTTTGGGCACCAGAGCTGAAACAGGGTTGGGGCAACTCATCCACAGCCTTGCTTGTTAGTGGTGTGTTGTATGGTCTTTCCTGCTTTCGCCTCCCAATGACCTATTTTTTTTTGTTTTCTTTGTGTTTTTTTTTTCTTTCATCTGTTTTTCCTGCTTGCTTATTCTCATGCCCTAACCTTTCTTTGTGCTCTGGCACTTCTTTACTTCTGACCCTTTAGATCCTTTGCAGTTCCTTTACTTCCTTGCAGCTCTCCTTGTTCTTCCTGACATAACCAAATCACACGTGTCCTTTTCCTTCTAAGCTCACTCTGTTCCTGTCCTATTTTTCACTGCTCCAGAATTTCCTTCTACACTCTTCCTCCATTCAGTCTATTTATTCCCATTTGAATATGGGCATAAGAATCTTCACCAGCTTTTCAGCTATGAGTTATGGTGATGCTGGAAGCCAGGCCAGCAGAGTGTCTGGAACACGTTAAACGAAGCTGAAGGTGAGATTGGAAAGATGGCCAGAAGCAGAGTGAGCTTGTGGTGTCAGATCAGGGAGATAAAACCTTTGGGTTTAACTGGTACTGCTGCCAGCAACAATGTGGTCTACTGCTGCCAAAAGATAGGTGTGCCTCCACGCCTCTGCAGGCAAGCTAAGGGATGTTCAAACCTCCTGCAGAGGCTCTGAATAGGCTGTATGGGGAGTTTAAACCTAAAGTCATCATTGCTGTTGACTACCCGTTGCATAAAGTTATGCTCAGAGCTCAATAGGAATGCAAAACCAGCTTCCTATATTTAGAAAAAGCCAGGCTTACGTTGCGGGTGAAACCATAACTCAGTCCCTGCCATGTGCACATTACAGCCCTTTTTTGCCCAAGACCCTGCAGGAAACCTGTTGCAGAGCAATGCTCTGGGATGTGGGACAACATCATGAGGCCTGGAGAGAATCTTTCTGCCTTTACCTCTCATCCTGTGCCTCAAATAGGGCGGGTGTCTTACAGAGCAAGGAGTATGTGATCACATAATTACAGACTGTCCTATGATACATGCTACAATGTAAGAGTGGAATTAAGGCTGAGCAGGCAGTTAAAAGCACCATTACATCATTTGACTAATCTCTCCTTGGCTGGCCATGAAGGATATCATCCTGTTCCCACTGAAGCCAAAAGATCGTACCTTTATCGGCTTGAGTGGAAGCTGGCTTGGCTTTCCCCAAGGCTCATTCATTGCTGTTAGCTGCTAGTTGAGGCTATACCCTTGAATGCATTAAACTTTTCAAGCATAACTCATATACCACACCTAACACACTTTGATTCAAGTTGAGACTTCAGCCCGGGTGCTGTGGGTAGTGGAGTGTGAGGGGAACTTGCTCTGCTACCATGCTCGCCCTAAACCTGTTCAGCCTGTTGAGTTGTTAATTGCCTTCAGCAGTTGCTTGCAGCTGATCAGGAGGTGAGGAAGGGCTGCTCCTGCCCTGCACAGCCCACAGCCAGCTCATTAAGTCTGTTTCCCCACCCTGGTGCACATATGAGAGCAGGGCAGAGGCAGCTGGGCAGTCAGGGCTGGGATGTGGTGGTTTGTACTCCCTTCCCTGTCCCCACTGAGTCTTGCCTCCCCAGTACAGCCATCAGCCCCCAAGCTTGCCAGGGGACAGCAGAAGCAGGGATTGAATGGATAAGTGCACCATCTCAGCATCATGTTGCAAGGCTGGTGCCTGTGCTCCTTCAGGCTAAATGGTGCTGAGCTGCATGTTAGTTTCCCAGAGCAGATCTCCTTACCTTTACCACTTCCCCAGCCTCTTAGGACATGCACCTAAATATGTACATTTTTTTTCACTTCTGCCTCCTTAATTTCAAGTCCAAAGTGTAATTTTTGAAAAGGAGCTGAACGTCTCACATGTAAAGTGCATCCTGCAGTGGGAGATAACCTAAAGGCAAGCAACCTTCACATGTGAATGCATCTTAACCTCAACCATATTTGTTTCTTCCAAATATTGTATGCAGTCATTGGAATTTTCCTTCACAACAACCTCATAGGTGGCCTTTTTATCACTTCAGGAAACCTTTTATTTCTGACATCTCTGCCTCCATGGTTTCCCATGCTGCCGATTTCAGAGTTGCACATCAAAGTGATGAAGACACACCTCAAG